AATAAACATGGAGAATTCTCAGAACTCCCTGAGCAGCAAAGGAAATCCCCTCAGAGAGCAGCTCCAGCACAGGGGTTTGCAGTTACACTGAGAAACTTCTGCTTGTTTAACAGAGAGGTTTCTCTGGGGTAATAAGACCTTTCCAGGGCTGTGCCAGGGATTTTCCACGAGCTTGGTCAGTGGGAGCTGCTCTGGTCATAGACATGGAGTGAGATCACCCCAGAGATCCAACCACAGATCCCAGGGAGTCCTCGGGGTGGGAGCTGGGAGAGGAGCTGGGGGAGGGAGGCTTTCACATCCCCTAATTACCAGTCATGCTCAAATCCCATAAAACAGCCCCAAGGCTTCTCCATTTCCCTTGGAGCAGGGAAAAACTTCTTGCTGGACAGGCTGAGAGGCTCTGTCCTGCCTAAAACCCCACAGGGAGGGAGACAAAGGGAAAAGCCATGTGGCAGCATCCACCTCCAGCCCTGGGGCTCCCCAGGGAATGCCATGGTCAAAGCTCCTGCACCCCCCAGGCACTGGAATGGCACTGGGCAGAAGGGGCTTTGTCCTGAAATCCCAGGTCAGAAGATCCCATGGCTGGGGAACCTACAACTCTTCGTTGGTGAGGACAAAGAGGGAAAGGATTGGATTCCTCCAAGAGTCAGACCAAACCAACAACTGCAGCAGCCTCTGGGTCACAACAGCACTACAAACATCTCTCCTGAAGTTAAAAATTCCCCTTGCTCTGTTTGGATTTGTACACATGGCATGGTGTGAAGGGGAGGTGTTTTTAAGGATACTCTTGTCTGCAATCATAAGGTTACAGCCATAAGTGTTTTTCCCTAAAGTAGGTTAAGAAAAAAGGGAACAGTTTTCTGAAGAGAGCTTTGCTTTTGACACAGTTTCACTGGTTTGGGGGTGTCAGTTCAGGTTAGAGGTCTTTAACCCTCCACATCTTGGTCCTGCTTTCCCTACTGGTTGTAATCAACCAGAGCAACAACCCAACTGCTGGGCCCCATGACAGCACAGGGACTTTGGCTATGAAATAACAGAACATCTATTGACTGAGCCCACCCTAGAGCTCTCAGATTTCCCTGTGGTAATGGCAGTGCACAGCAAACAGGCCCCATCCCCCTGGCAGGACCACGACACCATCCCAGCCCTGACTGGCAGCTCAGGTCGATACCAATCTCTGGTTTCATGCTGTCAGATTTCAGAAGGGACCTGGTGTCTCCAGAGCACCAGAGGGAGTTGGAGAAGGTGACACTGAGGCACCAAGGAATCCCAGCACTTCTCCTGAAGCAGAGCTGCCCAGCTTGACCTTCAAAGATCATTTTCACTGCTCAAAACCACCACAATATCCCTCAGGACAAGGCCAGTGGCTGTTTTGATTGGCTCCTTCAGGAGCACACACATTGACCTGGCTGCTTATGGTTCTCCCAAACACAACCTGAGGAGCCTGTGCAGTGTCCAGCCTGTCTGGAGGGTGTTACATGACTCCAATCTCCCTCAGTCAAGTGCTGGGCTGTGCCCATGGGACAGAGGTCATGCTGCTTGCAGTGGAGACACACTCTCTCTCACAAAATGTCATGACTGCAAGTAAAAAGCCACTCCTGAAATTATGTGAGGAGTGATGTCCAGACTTTGCTCTCTAAGAGGAATTTGTTCTTTAAAAAGGAGTCCAGCAGAAAACTCAGTGGATCCCAACTCCAGTGAGTGTGGAGAAGTCAAGGCAGAACCACACATGTCCCTTCTGAGGTCCCCAAGAAACCAGAGACACTACAAAGGGTTTTCTCTTCATCTCAGGAGGCCAAGGGAGGCAGGTTCTGAACTGGCTGGTAACTCAAGGGGAGCTGAACTTCTCCACCACCCAGGTCCTCCTGACAGCCCCATTGGCCAAACTCCACATGCTGAGATGGCCCCACAGGGACTGAACAACTTCCTCCATGGAAAGAGGGGGGAGGAAAGAAACTGAGCCCAGCACAGCCCAAGCCTGGCTTTACTGAGCCCTGTCCCAAACCCAAGCATGAACTTGGGTCAAGGCTCAAGGAACCTGCAAGCTGCTGTGTCCAAAACACTTCCCGGTGGGAAAACAGGCAAAGGAACCATCCACTTCCACATCCAGGGAGGAGACATCTTCAGATGAGAGAAGGGAAGCCAAGCTGCCCCCAGTGCTCCAAGAGCCTCTGGCAGGTTCATCGGTTCATTCCTTAAAAATGGGCAGTGGGGATGGTGACAGGATGAAATATGGCTTTTCTGGTCTCCCCTGAAAGCCAGGAAATACAATTCCAGCTGGAAGACTGGACAGCAGCAGGGGAAGCAGCAGAGCTGGTCCTGGAAGTGCTGTAAGGAACGTTGCAAAGGGGGAAAGGCAGTGGTGGGACTGGGGAAGCCACAAGACTGTACAGAGGGAAAAGCAAGTGTTGAAAATGGCAGAGAGAAAGGCAAGAGCTCTGAAGAAATAAAAACTGAGGGGAAGAAGGAGCTGAAAGAGCTGCAGCAAGTTCACCTTTTATGGGAACACTTGGATTTCTTCATAATCTCCCTCCTTGGTTGAGGCAACAAAGCATGGGGTGGCTTCAAAAGCTTTGAAACCAACTGCATCCCACTGGAAGGATGGGTCCAGCCAGCAGCAGAGCATGTGAAACCAATAAACAAGGGGGAAAATGAGTCAAGGAGGAAATTTTTATGGGGAAAAAAATAAGGCAGTGAAATAAGATCTTGAGAATGGTGCATTTCTTGTAAAACATTTTCAAGAGATGGCCAGAAAAGGGGGTTGATCCATTTGGGAGCTTGCACGAAGCATTAGGCACCCTGTGGATTCCTCTGCAGGATTGTTCCTTCACTGCAAGAAAAGAGTCCCTTGGTGTGTTCAGCTGGAGCAGAGGAGACTGAGGGGAGACCTCAGTGCAGTTCCAATTCCTGGGCAGGGGCAGAGGAGGGGCAGGGACTGAGCTCTGCTCTGGGGGAGCAGGGACAGCACCCAGGGAACGGCTGGAGCTGTGTCAGGGCAGGCTCAGGTTGGATCTCAGCCAAAGGTTCTTCCCCCAGAGGCTGGTTGGGCACTGCCCAGGCTCCCCAGGGCAGTGGGCACAGCCCCAAGGCTGCCAGAGCTGCAGGAGGGTTTGGCTGATCCTCTGGGGCACAGGGGGGGACTCTTGGGGCTGGGCCTGTGCAGGGCTCAGGGTTGGACAGGATGATCCTTGGGGGTCCCTCCCAGCTCAGCACAGTCTGGGATCCCGTGATCCCTGCAGACACACCTGCTGAGGCTGAACAATTCCACAGGAGAAACCCTGTGGGAACAAGGCCCAGAGCACCAGGTACACACCCTGAGAGAGCAGCCCGTCCCTCCTGCCCCTCAGCAGGGAGTATCTACAGAATTCACACATGAAATGAATCTCTGTGACCTGGGGGGCTCCATCAGTGCCTGTGCTTGGCATTCAGCAGCCACTACATCCTGTGTCCCATCCCAGCTCCAGGAACTCTCCAGTCAAACCCAGCACACGTTCAGGGTGTTCACAGAGTTCCCGGTGCTGCTGTGCAGGAAGCACATTGGAAAAGCTGCTTTATTTCATGTCTGCCATTCAGAAAACGTGGCTTTGCATCCCCTGGGCTGTGCTGGGGGATGCAGACGTGGGAGCACAGGGGTGTGGGGATGCAGCTGGTCTGGGGGGACAGTCAGGGACAGCACTGAGCACCCCCAGCCCTCCCCAGACAGTCTCTGTGAGGGGCAGGGGGTGTTTCAGTCACAGTAATGCTGAACTGCTTTAATCACATCCAGGAAGGAATCCGAGAGTCCCCCTGAACAGCCACAGCTCCAGGACAACCCAGTCAAGGGAAACAGAGGCTTCCCCTGGGTTTAAGGCAATAAACCCCATCTCAGTTCATCCCACAAGTCCCAGCTGCCCCAGGAGGGTGATGGCACCATATTGAGCACATCCAATTTCTCATTCCACTGCTTTCCTGCCGTTCCCTGGCCCCCTCCCTAAATCACTTCAGGTCACAGCCGTGACAGGCTGGCACTGCTTTGGCTCTTTGCATTCACCCCTCACCGTGAGGGATCTAAACCCCAGCTGGGTTTAGATACACAGGCCCTACATCTGGGGGAGAGGTGAGTTCTCCTGGACAAACACTCGGGTTTCCTTTCCCAAAGCAACGTTTTTCCCTTTTGGTTTCTCAGTTTGATCATCTGCTAATGAAATATTTTAAAAGAAAAGCAAATGTCAACCGGTAACAGCAGCAAACCACAACCACTGACTAATTAAAACCTTTTTCTAACACACAGAAACCAAGACCACCCAACGGCAAGAGCAGAGCTGATAAATCCTGCTGGAGATTGCTCACGTCTCTTTGGCCCCCCTTTGCAACACACAGGAAGGATGAACCGTAATTGCATCCCACAAACACACTACTTATTACCTGATTTTTGCATTTTTTAAAGATAAACGGTAGCATTAGACCAGAGCTGAATTCCTGAGGCAGACTCTGAATTACCTGGAGCTGAGATTTAAGAGATACATCAAATTAAGCCCTTGCATCCATTCTGGTTTGAGCTATTTTGGTTGGGTGGGATGAAAATCACATGAATATAACCCTTCTTTTGTTCCCCACCCAAAACCCAGGCATCAGCAAAGATCTCCCCAGATCCTCCTTATAATGGGAATAATCATTAGCAACATCATTTTCAGAAGGCTCTGGAAAGATTAGGATACAGAGAACACCTCTGTCACATCAGAGACAGCTACAAGATGAATTTGTGCTCTTCACCCATCTTCACTCAAACACCCACTCAGAAAAGAGATGGAGGTGATTGCTAACTTAGAGACAGCTCAAAACCAGGGAATTAGTGCAGTCTGGAGTACCTGTGGATCTGGAGGGTCAAGCTTTTACAGTGGCTGCAATCCAACTACCTCTGGCCTTCTGCTCACCTCCACGAGGCACCTGCACTGCCATCACTGTAACCAATAACTCCCACACAGCTGTGACACTCAGAGAGAAATAAATGGGACACTTACCCTCCTTCAAAGATCTTGATCCTGACTGGCTCCCCTCGTTTGGTCACAAGAGCCTCTTCTTCTGCTTTTCCTCTTTTCTCCTCTTCCTTCTCAGCTCTAGTTATATCTTTTCGACCTTCATTAGAAAGGAGCGAAGGCAAATGAACCTATCTCCCCAAAAGAGCAAAACAATCAATGATTACATACAAAATCACTCTAAGACAGACCAAACAGCCTCAGCAAGAGCCAGCAACTCCTGCAGGTGCTGCTCCTGACAGCCAAGGGCAGGAATTGGGACACATTCCTAACAAGCAGATATGCCTCTGGATTTTGGTCGGGTTCTATTTACTGTGACCTGCTATGGGTTTTTAAATCACTCCCTGCATATGGTGGCTCCATATTATCCAACTGGAAAACTGAGGGATAAAGAGAAGTGTCTTGGCTGGGGTGACTCAGTGTGGTGGAGCCATGGACCTCTGTTCCCAAATCCACTGCTCTGTCCTTGGATAATCCTCTCTCCAACATCTACATCTGCAAAGGTCTGGAGAGAAGGCATCTGCAGAATTCAGACACTTAACCTCAACCCCTGGGTTTCCCCCCACATACACACACACTCACACAAAGCTGGACTTCAGCCATCTGGGCTTGACATAAATCACTCGACAGTCGGAGCTCTCGGGTGATTTCCTCTCACCGAAACCCCGTTGCCAAGGGCACAGCACAGAGAAAGCCACAAAACCCACGGGAGAAAATAATCCTCCACCTCCCCACATGTTCCCAGGGTAAAATCTGCTCTTTCACTCTTCAAGTTGCCACCTTGTTTAGGGGGTTTTTGTGTCTAAGCCTTGTTTAGGCCAAGGTTTAAGTCGTGCACTGACAACTCACTTACATGTTGAATGTTCTTTGTTGTAGTAGGTGGACCTAAACATTAGAGCTGCCTCTTTAGCTTTGTACAAAGCAAGGAGAGCATGAAATGTTGGGAATCCTGCCCTTCTGAAGCCCAACAGGACAAATAACAGGGGTCTCCAGAGCTCTGAGGGAGGAAAGCAGGTTGCCTTTCACCCCAGGTCACTTTTTAGACCATTTTTTGTGTTCAATTGAATTACCCATATCCTCACTTTATATATAATACATAAAGAGTTTTTACCAGAGTTTTTAGAGGGATTTTGGCCTGAAAGTCTAAAGCAGAGCTGGTCACCCTTGGCAAGAGTGGCAGCTCTCAAGGGTGACTCACCTGCCCCACCTGAGCCGTCATCTTAAGGGGGATGAATCACCCAAGAGGAGCCTCTTTGTCTCCCGTGGTTACAGGGGAAGCCACAGAGTGAACAGCTCAAATGGAGACATCCAAAATTCCAGCAGGCTGCTGGAACTACCAGGGGATGTTCAGCAGGAGGAGGGGTGGGCTCACTAAAACAGCAGCTTTGCAACCCTGAGGTCAAACACTTCAAACCTGCCCAGCAATTGCAGGAGCTCCACTTGAGGCTCTTTGCCCTTGGGACCAGCTGGTTCAGATCCACAGGTCACACCCACACACCCTCCCTAGATGCCTCCTGGGATGGTCCCTGTCCTGTCCCAGCTCCCCAGATGTGCCCAGCAATTGCTGGAGGAAGGGCAGTGAGGACAGAGCAGAGCCAGGAATCATTTACCAACTGAACAGCTGGAATGGTCTCCAGCTGCTGTCCCTGGGCATGGAGACATCTGGGGGGGAATCAGCGGCAGAGCACCTTCCAAATAAACCTCCTGAGATGAGCAATGCCAGAACATTGCCAGTGACAACCTTCCCAGGGCGGGAATTTTACTGAGGAATACAAAACAATTGACTTTCTAGATGTAGCACGAGGTTTATTTATTGCAACTTTTGAAAGCACAGAACACAGACAGATGAAAGGCACCAGAGAGCCAAAATCATACAGTCACTACTATCCCCTTTTACAATCTCATTGAATTTACAAAGTGTGCAAGCCCAGTACAGTGTATTTATCCATCCCTACATGCAGCTGGTGCCCACAGTCCCTCCAGAATTATCTGCTCAGCAAATCCCACTGGGAATTTAAAACCCAAGTCAAGTATGTAGACAGCACATCCAGGACTAGTGCTTGCTGGGAGCTTCTGCATGCATAATGGTACAAAATATCAGAGCCTTTTGACATCTTCTGCTGTGTTACTGACAACTTAGAGTTACACAAAGAAGTAAATATTGAAGGGAAATAGCTGGAGCAGAGCTAAGTGAACTTTCAGCCTCGGATTGATGCTGCTGCCACACACGTCCTGTTAATCACCCACCACGCCACTTCCTAATCTGTGCCAGCCAGATGTATTTTAAATACTAAACTCAGGATTTCACTCCCACTGATCAGAAATTCTTCCTCTGCTTGGCATGAATTCAAGTTCTCTTCCCTGAAATTACCACACTTCCTGCAAACCACGCTCCAGGCTGGATTTAGGCTCCACCGTTCTCCAGGTGAATTTGGCAGGACAAATTCTCCCTTTTGCAAATTGTCCCATGAAAACCTTGACTTGCACCACCAGTCAGATTAGAGGGGGTTTTTTAAGAGGTTTATGAGCCCTTGGAGCAAATGCATGCATGAAATGTGTATTTTGATGACGAAGGACTGAACCTTCCTGTCTGGAATTTAACCTTTCATTTCAGGGTCTGAGGGTCTCCTGTCTCTGAACACACCCTTGGTGGGCACTTTAGCACCATGTCAAAGAGCAGAGCTCGGAGAAGCACAGGCACTTCTACTGGAGAATGAAATCAAGGGTGGTACAACACCAGTCAGATCAAATCCTTTGAGAAATAGTGCATAAATATCAAGCCTTGGTGTGGTTATTGCACTGCTCAGGTAATTATCTGCCCCTGTGGCCCCAGAAATCTGCCTTTTGGATTTCTGCAGAAGGATGATGGAAATGCTGAATAGAAATAAAGATTTATTGAATCAAAGCAACTCTACTGTGTATTTTAAGACATATTTATAAGCAGCAGCTGCAGCAGCGATTATGATAAATTTAATATTCAGAGTTCATTTCATGATACAGAAATAAAATGAATAATCCATCAATATAAATTGACTTGAGATGAATATCAAATTGCCAAATCTTTAGAGCAATTCTGTTGGCTAATCTACATGAACATGATGTGGATTAAAGGGATCTGTGTGGTTCAGCATTAACCCAGAGGGGTAAATCTGGCCTTAAAACGAGATAAAGAATATTAGGCAGCTCACAGAAGTGTCTTAAAGACTCCTTTGCCCACATGGCCACTGCCATTGGGAGCTCTGCCCCTGTGAGCTGTTTGCCTTGCTCCTCTAAACTCTAAAACCAGGTCTCAAATACCCTCGGAGAGCTGGGAAAGCAGGTGGACAGTTACAGACATGGAATGGACCCCACGACACGGGTGTTTAACAAGACCCCGTGTCTGACCTCCTGAGGCACTTTTAGAAATGTCACTGCATGCCTTCACACTTCTTCAGGGGCCTAAATACACTTGCAAATCTCCCTTTAATATTTTTAAATACTTTTAAGCATGCCTCTCCATGTTCATTAATGTGAGATGAGCAGATGCACAACCAGGCAGAATCCCATTTCCCCAAGGTAATCCTTCCTCATTTAGAACAGGCAAAATGGAGGGAATTAGAACAGCATTTATGAAAAAAAAAAAAAAGAAGAAGAAGAAGTTGTAAAGCTATTTGAAATATCAAGACAAATGCAAATGAGGTGTAATCCTTTGTGCTTGAGCAGGGGTGGTTGGTGGTGAGGTGGTGATTCCTACAAGCTCTTTTGATTACAAGGCAAGTAGAAACTGGAGAACAGAAATGTGGAGCCTTGGAGCTCACCTGCCTGCTCTGGTTTTTGGTTACAGTGGGGGTTTGCTTCCTCACTCTACAAGTTTCACTGAGAACAAGCGCTTCCCAACCCCAGAGGGGGCTGAGCAAACCCCTATTAACCCAACAACAGCGATTCCCCGTCCCTCATCCCCCTCTCCCCACGTGTGGATGAGGAGAAATAGATAGGATTGCATTACCTCTGTCATTTTGGGCTTCCTGGAGCTGGCTGGGACCAGCCTGCCTGCCTCCGGACGGGGAGCCGTGGCCATGGTGTAGGTCTCCTTGCTCACCTTCTGCTTGGACCTCAGGAGGGACAGGGCTGCCTTGGTGGAGATCCCGGGCAGGTTGGGGTTGTAGAGGCTGATGCACCAGCTGGCATAAACCGAGGAGCGCCGATCCACTTGCTGGATGTGATTTGGCTTGATGTAGTTTAAATAGCACCAACTGACATTAGTGGTTGTGTGGAGGCTGGGGAACTGAAGTACCTTCTTCGTGTCTGTACCTTCTCGAGACTTCATTGCACTCTGGGTGCCCTCGGACGGCGGGGCAGTGCTCGGGGGGTTCGGTGGAGACGGCTCCACCTGTTCTTTGGAGTCTTCTTTCTTCACGGGTTGCAAAGGTGCCTTGCTGAGGAACTGTTTGCCAGCTGGCTGCTCATACTCTTCCAGTGCCTCAAAGCTTGGAGAACCTGAATGGGACACAGCCTGCTGCAAACTGCTCGGGGTTTCCTTTGGCTCTGACTGCTCTGTGGACAAACTAGGTGGTGCTTCAACCTCGACCCTGTCCTGGCTTTCCGCAAGGAAGTGAGATTTCTCCTGCTTTTTCCCTTCCTCTATTGCACTGGGGGGCTTCACCACTTCCAACTTCTCTTCTGCTTCAGACACTTCCTCCTCTTTCACTCTCTTCTGCTGTTGTGTTTCCATCGTCAGCTCCAAGCTGCCGGCTGGGGAGAGCATCCTTTTGCTTCCCCCGACCGTAGCTGGGCCCCCTTCCAGGCCGAGGACGCTGTCGGAGGGGCAGGTGAGGGGCATGTACCCCTTGCGCTCGGGCAGGGGCAGGGGCACCCTCAGGTAGGGGCTCTGGAAAAGGCTCCTCTGCTCCTCCGTGATCATCTGGGCCAGGTCGAAGCCCAGCCCGTGGACGTCGGCGCTGCACACCAGGGCACCCTTGGGCGGGCGGTCGTTGAATTTGGGGAGGACAATGGTGGAGGAGCTGCACTGGGACTGGGTGACCAGGATCTGGGAGAGGGTGGTGTACATGGCGCTGCCGTAGGACGGCATGTTCGTCTGGATGCGCACGGGCACCACCAGGGACACCATCGGCTCCGAGCGCGGGGGGACGACCAGCTGGGTCACCGTCACGGACACCGAGGGGCTGGCAGTGCAGGTCAGAGGGTGCAGCCTGCTCTCAGAGTCGTACTCTGTGCACGGGGACAGGCTGGAGGCTCCTGCTGCCGGGAATAAACTGGATTTGAGCTGTGGTAAATGTCCACCAGCTTCACCTGGCAAGTGGAGAGCAAACTGAGACTGGAGAGGCAGAAAAAAGGCTGAGGGGATGGGAGAGGAGCCAGGGTAGTGCACGGGCAGGAACGAGGGATGCCTGAAGGACACCTCGGCGGGGTGAGACATCAGTGGCGGAGCGATGTGGAGCGGGCCCGGGTGGATGAGCGTCTGTGGGAGAGGCAGTGGCGGGGTCTGGAATATGGAGGGAGGGATCTGGGGCATGGAGAACTGAGCAGAGAGGATGTCAGACATGGTGTGTGCAGCAAAGAGCTCTGCAGACTGCCCTGGCTGCGGCAGGAGGTGCTGGTAGGGGAATATGGAGACCTGCGGGGCCAGGAACTGCTTCTCGTGCAGCGTCAGCTGTGGGACGGGGTGGTGGAACACCTGCAGGGCCTCCGTGTAGGGCGGGCTGTAGGTGGGCTCAGGGCTGTCCTTTGGCTGGCTCTTCTCACTGGGGTAAGTCCCGTGAGAGGGCAGAAGGGGTGAAGAGCTCGGCTGATGGGGCAAACTGGTGGAAGGAGATTTACTTGAGGAAGGAGCTGGATCTTCTGTCTCTGTCCAGCCTGTGGGAGCCGGGTCTGGGTCGTGCTCTGGGTGCCTGGTGAGGGACGCCTGCCGGACCAGGAAGCATTTCCTCCTCTCCTGGGAAGCCGAGGAGCTCGAGGGGCCGGGGGTCGAGGCAGGAGTGGACGACAAGCTCCCGTAGTCAAACGATTTGCTGCGTGTCTCCGACATCTGGGAAGGGTGGGACACGTTGGGTGTCTGCTCAGAGGCAGATCTCCGCATTTCCCTGGAGTGGTGATGGTGGCTCGGGACCATCAGCATGTGTGAGCCGACGCCAGGAGGCTTCGGGTGGGACTCGGAGGGCTGGCTGCTGGGCTCTGGCTTGCTGTGATCATCCCGATCAAAGGACACGGAGTGGCTGGAGCCGTGGGAGACGCTGCTCTCCTGACTCGGGCTGCGGGTGAGAGACACGGACTCGAAGCTGGACTCCCCGGAGGACTGAGCCATCTCCGCCAGCCGGAGCCGCTTCTTTTTGGGTGGGAGTTTCTCTGCAGGGAGCTGGGAGAGGGTCTGGCTCCTCTGCGGCCACTGGAATTCCTCTGTTTTCTCTGGCTCTTTTGGAGGAGGTTCTGGCTCTGTTTCTGGCCTGTCAGGCTCTTCTGTGACCAGAATCTCTGGCACCTGGATGTTGTGCTGCCGGACCAGCCGGGGCTGCAGGGAGTGGGGTGGGCGGCTGTGCTGGGGCGTCGGCTGCGACGGGAACTGGGACAAGGGCTTGTCTTCTTCCAAGCTGCTGGTCTGCTCGATGGAGTCAGACTTCTCAAAGGAGCTCGTGTGCTGGATGACAGAGATCTCCTTGGAGGTCGTTCTCCTCTCCTTGCCCTCCCCGCTCGAGGCCAGTTTGGTGTTCCTGGGATGGAAGGTGGCACTGACGTCAGAAGGGGCAGATTTACCCGGATCTGCTGGTGACTTCATGGATTCACGGGTCAGGTTCAGAGCCACATCCGACGACGCCGGGTTTGCAAACTGAGCCCCTGGCCCGGCGCTGGAGGAGGGGGTGTCAGACACTTCAAAAGCTGGAGGCTCCTCGTCGTCACCAAGACTCTTCTCCTTCCGCCTTTTGCGGAGCGGGGTGAGCTCCAAAGTGCTCCCCAGCTTGTAATGCATCATCTGGGGCCACGGGTCGGGATCTGCAGCGCCTTTCTCGGTCTCTGAAGAGGGATGGGAAGCGGAAGAGCGAGGCTTGGAGAGCTGCAGTTCTGAGCAGTAGTACTTCTTATGGGCTTCATAATTGTCCCTTTTCTTGTAGCGAGCACCGCACACGTTGCACTCGTACATGAACCCTTTCACCTTGGGGCCCTTCCGTGACTTTTTGGTAAGATCGCTTTCCTTGGTTTCAGGCTCCTCGGGAGGTTTGGAAACAGTTTCTTTGTTGGCAGAGCCGACCTCCTCTGAGACATATTCCACTCCCAAGGGTAGCTCAATAGCTGGTTGTCGTTTTAGCGTTCGAGGGTGAGAAGAAAACGCTTGACTGCGGCTTAAGACTTCAGGCTCCATGATGTGATCATCAAATGAGTAGCTACCTCTAAAGGTGTGTGGGGAGCTTATAGTGCATGCAGCAGAAGGCATTGAGTGGCTTCTTAGGAGAGGCACTGTCTCTGTGGCACTGTGGGATTGCTGAAGTGACAACAATGATTGTTCGGGCTTAATTTTTTCACCGTGGGATGCCAACACTTTGGAAGCATCCAACTGGCTACTGGAACCAGACTTGATATCGAACTGGAACGGTTCTCTATATACACCAGACTTTGGAGATTCGATGCTGCTACGTCTAGATAAAGAGCTTCTTCTAGGCTTAACACTATCTATTTCACTGGTATCTACAACAGCTTCGTTAATTGTAATTAGCTTAGTGATGTGTTCAATCACCTGTGTTCTAGGCACAGACAACGGGACCATGCTGGGCTTCTCATCCGTGGACAGGTGTGGAAACCCCTGGGTGGTGTTGGCAGCCAACGCTGCTGTCCTTTGCCCGATTCTCCCACACTTCCCAAAAATAATCTCCGCATAAGATTTGGCGTTGGTGTTCGGGGGGCTGATCTGCTGCTCTGCACTCTCTGACCTGGAGAAATATCCTGACTCGGTGCTGCCTTTGCTGCCGGGGCTCAGGAAGGCCTGTTCATCGATCACCTTCTTCCTCTCGCTCAGGCGGAGCGCGAGTTTCTGCTTGATCGTGTGGGTGTCCTCGGATTTATGGCTCAGGGCGTGGTCTGACGAGGGCTCCACGAACTGGCTGCTGTCCTCCAGGGACTGGGACATGCTGGAATGGGACAAGGAACACCGGTCGTGGCTGGAGCCTTGGCTCCCTGCACTCAGCAAGCTGCTGGACAGCAGCCCGTGCTTCTGCCTGGGGGAGAGCTCGACCGAGTGCCCCGACATCGCGCCCGTCTCCTCCTCCGAGTCCGTGCTCTCCCCTTCCGTGGGCTCCTCGAAGTCCTCCCCGCCAATCCTCTCCATCTCCAGGCTCGATGGATACATCTCTGCTCCGATCCCTGAGGCCAGCCCAGCTTTTATCCGATGAGCGTGAGATTTCCTATGTTTGTACAAATTGCTCTTAGTCTTAAAAGAGAAGCCACATGGAATGCAAGGGTACGGCCTCTCGCCCGTGTGCGACCTGATGTGTTTCTGGAGCACGCTCGGCTTCGCACAGGGCCTGCTGCAGTACTGGCAGATGTACTTGCCTGGCTTTTGGGGTTTCTTTTCCTTCTTGTGCACCTCCTCGGCCTGTTTCAAGGAAACCTGGGAAGGGCGAGGGATGTAGACCTTTTGAACGGACGGCATGTCCTCTCCGGGAATGATCTGCGAGTGGGAAGGCAGGAGCTGGCCGTGGTGAGAGTGGAGCCCGGGTGATGAAAAGGAGCCAGAGGGCCCCGGTCTCACTGGATCAACTAGCTGCCACGTGGGACCCTCGAGGACATGCTCTGGCTTCCCCGGGGACATGAATGCTGGTGACAGTGCGTGCTGCTGAAGCTGCGAGAGGTGGGGAGGGTGTTCGAAAGAGGAAGGCTTGGGTTGCTTCTGATGTCCAGTCTTCTCCTGAGACTCCTCTCTTGGAACGGGCAGAGGGCCAGAAAAGTGCTGCTGCGATATGATATCTCGGAGAGGGGTTCCTTGGGAAGGAGCAGAGCTGCCCTGGTACGTAGTTGTGGATGAAATACTGGCTTGGAAAGCCTCTCCTTTGGGAAGCCTCTGTCTTGGACTTTCCTCAGCCTTTTTTGTGCTCTTCTGGCTTTGTTCAGGATCCATGACCTTAAAAGGGTCTCTGAATGCTATTTTGGGAAGGTTTTGGCAGGCTTCATTTACGAATAATAAAGGTCTCCTCTGTAGATTCCCTGTTTTGCCTGCATTTGCTACGGAGCTGGAGCCGCCAGGAGATGGTTGTTGATTTAAGATTTTACTAAAGTGTCACTAGTTGCTATTTGATTCAAAAAAAAAAATGTTTCAAGGTCAATAAAGTTCACATTGGTAACACATGACAAACTACTTCAAAGAGAGAAAACTTTCCAAAACTTTTAGTCCAAATATTTTCCTTGTGAACTTGGTTAAGGCTTTAAACCTTGCCATTTTATTTCAGTTGACAGTGGCAAGCCTTCAAAGTCAAGATGCAACCCACAATGTGTCTCTTGTTTGTTATGCAAACCTTTGAAAACTTGAGACTTTAGTGCTCATCTCATAAGGATCTTTTTCTTTTTTTTTTTTTTCCCGTGCAAGGAAAATAACACTGAATGGTGTATGTCCCCCTGTGTCTTCCTTCTGTTCCACTTTTGAGTTCAAAAGCCTTGGAAAAGTATTTCCCACATTTCTGTAATTACATCCAAAAGAAAAACAAACAGAGAAAAAAATTATTTCAGCTTTTGTATTCAAGTAATTAAATGCTGCTAATTCCGTGGAGGATAACAATAAATATTTTGCACAAAAATAATTCAGAATAACTAACTGATTGTCTCCCATTCACAAGACATTACTTTCAACGGCAATCTAAACATAAATTGTACTCAGTCAAACCTCAGGGACTCAGTTTAATGCACACATGACCTGGCTCTGTGCAGTAACCAGAGACAGGAACTTGAAACACAGACAGTTTGGAAAAATGTATTAAAAGGATTTCAAACTCGAATTCCTTCTAATCTCCTGCAAACATTTAGGGGTTTAAAATTGTTGTAATTATATTTCCCTTCCAAACTGACTACACAGGAACGCTGCCTGACTCCAAAGCCTTGTGCAGCACATCCATTCACTGACAAACAAGCAAATCTTTGCTGCATAAAATCCTCTCCTGAGCTCACAATAATCTCCAATGTCATTTCCAGCAAAAGCAGGTAAAGAGGAAGCACACACAGGCTTTTACTGAAATGTTGCCTCTTTAATTTCCTGCCTTTTGTCACCAAACAATGGTGCAAAATCCAATTTCTGTGGCATATTTCATAGAGGGGAGTATCAAAATTGGCTGTTTCTGAAGGGGGACCATGAGTGTGGATGGAACCAATAACACCCATCACCCTTGTCAGCAAATACAGCTGATGAGGAGACACTCAGGGAGGAAACACTCTGATTGCACTGGAATAAAACAGCAGCTCCAAGAGATGGAGTAGAAATGGGTGGGCTACTCCTAAGGAAAATAAGGATGGTGCTTTTTAAGTGCAGAAAATTGATATGTGTGGTTTCCAATGAGAAAAGATCTCTGGTCCTTCTCTGGGAAGCTCTTGGCTGCCTCAGGGTGCAGGCCCTGCTAGGACAGTTTAATGAGGGGACACTGCTCCGAGCCCTGAGCTCCCACCCTGCTCTGTGCAGGGGGAGGGAGCCTGGATGGGGCTGCAGGGCCAGCCCAGCACCGAGACTGAGACTGGAGCTCTGCAGTGGCCCAGCTTCTCCTGAGGAGCACCAGTGAAGAGCCAGCAGGGGAGGCTGTTGGGTTCAACACAGAGTCCTCCCAGGATCCCCCACTCCTTATCCATTCCTACAGCCCTGCACTGCCCACACTCCGTGACAATGAGACAGGGGGTGTAAGGTGACATAATTTAATTTATACTCCCTGCAGTCCATGAGAAAAGGGACATGGGGTATACGGTGATTTAGTTCAATTCAGCAGAGTCTACAGATGTAGCAACACCCTGGGACACATCACGACCAACAAGACTTCAAAAAACTGTCCAAAAACTGTCTGTTCTTGGACAACTCACCTTAGATAGCCAAAAGTCAGGGTACAAGTCCTTGGACACAACCCCCTCTACTATCCCTGACACAGGCAGGTGCCAACAAGGGACAAAACAGGGGCAATGCCTCCCACATTAAGGTCTCAGTTCTGGGAGATTTTTTTGCCCTGAGATCCCATCTCTGACTGACTGGATTAGTGGCTTCTCTTCCTGGCCAGTTGTGACACTCAGATTTAGGGAACTGTACAGAAAATCAGTCCTACCCTTAAACGTCACCTCCTTTTCCCCAAACACAGGCTCTGCTCCCCTCCAGCACGAGCTTCACATCTGTCCAGGACCTGCAGAGCACCTGCTCTTGCCCTGACTTGCTGAGAAAGTGCCTCATGTTTATGGGCTCGTTGCTCTGAGGAGGAATTCATTACATTTTGAACCCCCTGTTTAGTTTTGGCTCCTCAGTGCTGACTAACACCAGCCACGGTCTGGGCTGGACTCAGAGCACTGCACTTCCAGCACAGCACTAACTCAAGATCAAAGACGCTGTGGAGCAGATTTATGATGTTGATTTTTGCCCAAGCTGCTGTTCTTTGCCCCACTCACGACACACACTTTGTAAAGTGGATTTAGCAGAGGCTTTCTCAGCAAGCAGAGAGTGAAAGCTGCCTCCCACGAGCTCAAACACTCTCATGTCAGAACTCCCAGCTCCAGAGTGCCTGAAAAACATCTTAATGCTGTGTTTTCCCCTATGGGCTCCATATCAGCTCCTAAGTGAGTAACAATCAGGGTTGCAAGGAAGCTCCTTGAGATGATTCAACATCACCCAAATGCTCAGCCCACCTGAGGAACACATGGGCCCCAGCTGGCTGGGGAGGAGCTCTGCAGGAAAGTTAATAATCCAAGAACTGGTCAACAAACAATTCCACCTGCTGCCTCCAGCAGCCAGCAGGGCCATTCCAGGGCACTTCAGGCCACTTTGGACAGAATTTTTTCCATTACTGGAAATGAGACTCCTGGAATGGCAATGGCAAAGGATAACTCTCCTGGTGGATGCAGTTAATCCAGGTTGACACCCCTCCAAGGAAAATTGAACAGTGCAACATTAAGTGGCAGAAAAGATGAAGCCCAGGAGGGTTTCTCCACTCTGAGGTGTGGCAGAGGAAGGGAACAAGCTCCCAAAAAGCTGTTTGAAGATGTCCTGCCCAGCTCAGATACGACCCAGAGTAGCTGAGCAGTGTCTCACTGCACTCCATCGGAGCAGGGATCTGGTTCCTGCTGCTCTCCCTGTGCCTGGGACATCCCTCCAGCTGGCAGAGAGCACAGGGCTGGCGTGGTCATCCCTCCCCAGAGCTCACAGGCAGCTTCCTGCTGGCTCCTCCTGGAAAGCCAACGGGACTAACGGCTGGAAAAACCTACTCTTCTTTTTCTTCCTCATTTTTCTTCCAGTTTCTGTTCTCTTCACCTCAAAATCTCTCTTCAGACTTCAGCCTGCCAATATTTATTACATCTTCCTGATTCTCCCCCTTTTTCTCAGAAAAGGCTCATCTTTTGGTTTTACTTTCACCTCCTCCTCATGACCTGCAGTTTCTTCTCTGCCACGTGCTCTGTTTCTACTGGGGCACTTGGGGAAGAGGGGACTGAGGGCAGAGCTCAGCGGGGGCTGCAGCTCCTCCCCAGGGGCAGCTCCGATCTCTGCTCTGGGGGAGCAGGGACAGCACCCAGGGAATGGCTGGAGCTGTGTCAGGGCAGGCTCAGGTTGGATCTCAGGCAAAGGTTCTTCCCCCAGAGGCTGGTTGGGCACTGCCCAGGCTCCCCAGGGCAGTGGGCACAGCCCCAAGGCTGCCAGAGCTGCAGGAGGGTTTGGACAACGCTCTGAGGGCCAGGGTGGGATTGTTGGGGTGTCTGTGCAGGGCCAGGGGTTGGATGGATGACCCTTGTGGGTCCTTCCAACTCTAGATATTCTCTGATTTTATGATTCTAGTTAGTGGTCCTGCCATGGCTATGGCCCAAACTCATGTTATGACTTGATTCCAGCTCCATCCCTTCAGCCCAGGGCAGGGGAGGTCACTGCCAGTGCTGTGCCTTTGGTACAACTGTGATCCCATGGACAGGCTGAGGGAGCTGAGATCCCACAGGATTTTACAAAGGATACTGATGCACCTTATCCCAGTGGGCACAGCCCCAAGGCTGCCAGAGCTCCAGGAGTGTTTGGACAATGCTCTGAGGGACAGGGTGGGATTGTTGGGGTGTCTGTGCAGGGCCAGAGGTTGGGCTGGATGATATTTGTGTCCTTCCAACTCTGGAGACTCTGTGATTCTACAATTCTCCACTCTTTTTGCTCTCCCTTCCCACGTGCTCTGCTCTGCTCTCTCAGTACAAGAGCAGAGCTCCAGCCCCGTGCACGGCACTGGCACAGCAACAGCAGAGCTTTAAGGAACAAGTCCCATGGATTACATGGCACATGGTTTCCAGCTGCTCCCATTGCATGTCTGTGGCTGAATCCAAAGCACAGGCACTAAAACTGGGGATTCCAGCTCTTATTTCCATTCAAACACCATTTCTTAGGGTTTCACTTGAAATGCAGTGGAGCGAGCAGGACCAGGAACTGTTCCATCCCCAGGGAGGAAACAAAGGCTGCCACCCTGCTGGAAGGAATCAGGGACAGGATGCCTTCTGATTGTAATGGGACTAGAATTTCACCCCAAAGCCTGAGATAAAACACTCAGAAAAATGCTCTTTTAGGAGGTCACAGCTGTTGGTGTTCTGAATTACCTTATCATGGCTGCAATGGATTCCTGCAAGCAGGCCCAGGCACACAGTCCTTCCCAGCCCTGATCCTCACCCAAGTCCTCCTAAAGGAGTTCTCCTAACCATTGCCAAACCTTAGGCTGGTCCCTCTGCCTGGGACTATCACCACATTTATGCAGCCATGCCCCCAAACAAGCTCTTTCCCATCAGAAATGGGAAGAGGCTGTGCCTGACTCCTGAGCTCCAGGTGGGAACAGCTCTGAAAAGACATCAGGGCTTTCTCTACCCTGTGTTGGCCTCCAGAATACATTCCTGTCAAGTGACATGTGGAAAACTGCAGTCCTTGGCTTTCTCTCACTTGCCTTTTGTTTCCAGGACACTGAAACATCTCATTACTGGGGATCCTTAAATCTTGCTGGTGGCAAAATCCTCTTGTATGTGATACTCAAGCAAAAGGGGGGATTTTCTCTGCTGCCTGGTCCTGTCCCAGCCAGATCAGGATCCAGTGGGATTAGTGGGAAGCTATTACAGCTCTGCCTTTTCTGTACCATTCCAACCAGAACAGCATTTTCCTCCACACACCAAATTTTAACCTGGTTTTAAGGCTTGTGTGGTGCCTGAGAAAATCCACTTTGTTTATTGCCCATGATAACTTTTAAGTCAAATTTTAGACAAATTGAACCAATGGCCAACATATTTGACACGTGTTAAATATAATATGTATATAATTAAATATATGTTAAATATACTTTAAAATCTCACTTGTGCAGTGAACTCAGCACAGCACAAATTCTTGCTGAGGGACAGGTACAGCTCCTCCTTTACTGGCAGCCACTAAAATATCCTGCCCATGGAAAAACCACATTCAGCATTTACCCCTTTTTAATTTAAATCAATCTGGAGAGAC